GCTCCTGGCCTTACTACCAGGAACAAGAAGCTACTAGGAGCAAGGGCCTCGCTACTAGGAGAACAGGTACGAGACTCCAGGTACTTGGGACATCGAGGGACGCCAGTCGGTGAGTCGGCTGCCGACTCACCACTTCGAGCAAGACACAGGAAACGGTGCATGGTTCTCGTTTTTTTGTGAGACATAAAAAGAATTCGAATATATGAATGCATCACCGTGACCCGTGTTCGCAAGAAAGGAAACTACACACATATCAATTAGTTTCCCTAAAAATCTAGAAGCCAAATCATTAGTGTGAGCGCTTCTTCAAGGAAGCTTCCCCGCCGCCTTCAGCCTTTAGGGCGGCGGGAGGAGTTTCCTTGAAAAAACGTGAGCTATCCTGCGTCCAGTAGATAGTAGCTTACTTGTAGGTACTAGCGACTTCCTCATCTCTACTAGCGACTCCCTAACGGCCTACCCCCCTTGAAAAAGACAGTGTAAACACACACACACACATTCCAAGTGTGGTCAATTTCTAAACCGGAACCGGACCTTCCCCTCGGTCAACCTACCCCGGTTTTGGCCAGGTGCATCGCTCTTGGGCGGAAAAGCGGCGTACGATGCCTCAATGATTTCAATCTATCTCAGTAGAAATATGGCAAGGAGCCCGCACAGGCACAGGGAACTCATGGGTGCGCTTTTTTGACATCAAACTAGAAAGCACGTGCATCATCTCAAGAATCCAGTTCAATTTGACATGTTAAGACATTTGACTTCATATGAGCTGAGTTTTTCTTGCTTCTCCTAGAGGCACGTTGAAAAGGGCACCTGTGACCAGCACCCAGTGTTTTTACGGACGACGACTGAGCAGCGTTCAAAACCTTAAGTTCATGTCGATAAGTCATGTACGATGACAGTAATTTTACTTGCCAGGATGTTCCTTCGGTTTCTGAAAGGTTATTCCCTGTTCCATGCAGCACTACAAGCCCGTGCCGGTTTTGCGAGCAAACGGTTTTCTTGGGCCAGTGCGATCCATAGGAAGCGGAAGAATAGATGGTAGAAGCAGAACATGTACGTCTTTGGCCCCCCCAAGAGGCAAGGATCATTCCGAAAGCAGATGCATATCATCATTTTGCCGGTCAATACTATAGCGTAAGCGCAGCTTAGGTTCAAAGTGACCTGCTGTGAAAGGCTTGGCCCATCAGCCATTTCATTTGAGGTTGTGGTTCTATGGGATGCGGGGTACATATGATATAATTGCAGTTCTGAAGCTGCAGCCGACCCAGTTGTTGCTACTTACCTGCAGTCCGCCTTTTGTTTGAGTTGCTTCCTGTCATGCTTACAACTTGGCTGCAAAGCGACATCAACTGTAAGCATGACGTACGACTACTTGCACATGTTTCGCGGTAAGGCATGGGAAAACAGACGGTTTCCACCTTCATAAGATTCCCTGTGGGAATCTCGATGGTTTGAACGCGTGCTGCTCAACTTTTACGCAGAATGATCCCAAGGCTGAACAAAGAGATGGATGTGTCATAACTGCAGTCATACAGTCACTAAAACACGATCACATACAAACCTGGAAGAAAGAGACCACATGCCCTTTTGACTCATCCGACATCAAATTTGCCCGGGGCTCCTTGAATTTTTTCCCGGAACAGACGTGGCGAGGAAAAGTGCTGTCGAGCGGTGTGTGTGGTTGTTTCGTTTTGTGCCATCCAAATCATCATTCTTCAAAGTGACTGAACTTGAGATCCAGGAGGAGGTCACTTATAGACCTGTAGTTCGATTCACTTAGAGACTCCAGTTTGAGGTCATGGACTAGGTCCGGTCCCAGCTAGCCTTGACGCCTTCCCGGTTGCTGAAACCGAGGTTGGAGAGCCATGGCTTGTGCGGCTCAGGCTTCCAATTCTCCGTGCAAGCAGGGCTCATTCTGGTGCAAGGTGCCCACCCAGAGCAGGCCTTCCAATGTGGATCCTTTCAGCTACTGTGAAGAAAGCGGCTTGCGTCTCTCGCGAGGTGGACCTGGACATGCCTCCAACCTAATAGCTTCTTGATCCTAGTAGTGATGCCGTAATGCGTAGTAATGCCAGGAGCTACGTTCGTAGCTTCCTTGTTACTAGTAGCGATGCCCTTTGCTCCGTTCGTAGCTTCTTGTTACTACCTTTGGCGTTCTTTGGCCTTGTTCGGTTGATCGGTGCATGTTGGGAGAATCAGCGTGAGGGGTCGATGTTGCGAAGTGCAACGAAGGGTGGGAGGGGTAACAATTGTTAGTGAAATGTTCGTAACAAGAAGCTACGAACGGAGCAAGAAGCTACTATAGTAGCTCCTGGCCTTACTACTAGTAACAAGAAGCTACGTTCGCAACTGACGGCATCGCTATTGGTGAGGTTCATGCATTAGCTTTGGGCTCCCGCGCTCGCGGAATCTCAAGTCAACAGATTTTTCGCCCCCAAAAAGTTAGATGTTTTTTTGCACAGAGCGGCTGGAAAGCATGGATTCACCAGAAGTCATCAAAGCATGCGGTGTAAGACGAAGCCTCCAATTTGCATGTGCTTTTAACACCAAGCGGACGTACACAACGCTGAGGCCTTGCCAGCTGCACGTCATCTCAGACCTTCCTTTTGAAAGCTCTGAGCTGAGAACAGAAGAGGGTGTATTTGGAACATGAGCATTCCTGGAAACAGCCGAAGGCTATTTCCTTTGATAGGATATCATGATGATTGTTGGGATGCGTACGTGGGCAGGCATGCCACAGCTTCTTAACCTGCTTGATCCGAGCACACCTGATCATCTATCTATACGTAAAGTATACAGAAATTACTATATTATACTATATTACATTATTCGTACGTATATATGACTATATCTAGTACAGGCTAGAATCAGAATAAGATCAACATTATATTATAAATGTATTAATCTTAATATATCGATTGTATGACTGAAGACCTTTTCGACTGTTCACCTCGCGCAATCGCTCGACCTCGAGGTGAGGACCGGGTGATGATCGTCGCGCCGCCACCGACGTCCACCAACTCACTGGCCACCGTGTGTGGGCGCGGCACTAGCGGTCTGCAGGCGGGAGCGTTCGAAGAAGAAAACGTATCTCAAGATCGTTTGGTGGAAGGAAGGGGGAGATGAGATGCAATAGCTAGTTAATTTTAGCAAGTTAGCAATATAGCATAACTCCGATGTGCAAGTTGATGAGGTGACGTCTTTTTAATTGCGCCAGGTTTAGGTATCAGGGGCATTCAGGTGTGTTGCGCCATTTTATGCGCCCCGTGGCTAAAGAACAGGAAGGTTTTCCATGAGTATGCGCCTAAAATTGCAGAAAATAGCGGAGATTGGGACCGCTTCATCTTATGGGCCTCCGTAAGAGGAAATCAAAAGGAATCAAAAGGGCATCAAAAGGAATCAACAGGAAATTAATAGGATTCAAAAGGAAATGAGAAGGAATCAGAGGGATATCAAAAGGACATTAACAGGATTCAAAAGGAAATTAACATTCATCAAAAGGACATTGAAGGGACATCAAGAGGAATACAATACACAAAATAGTAGTTGCGCCATCTATGACCGCCAAATAGCGAGAAAAAGGAGATACATGGCGCAGCTGTTCCCGCTATTGTTTTGGAGTTGCGCTAACAACTTCCCCCCCGGTGTAGCGGTTTTTGTCTCAACAACATACATCGTTGCCATTGTAATTAAGACTCTTTTAGTCAGCCAGCGCGTTTTTCAAAAAAATCACGCAGTTTTTTGTGTGGCTTGTCACTGTTTGTCAAGGAAGAAGATAAATTAAGTTGTTGCTTGATTGTTTTGTGTGTTTCTGACTCAAAGGTGCAGCTGACCTCCTCCATGAGCATTTGGGACACCACCAGCACCAGCCCGGCGATTTTCACCACGACTTTGGCGCCGAACGAGACGACCACCACACTGGAACCACGGCCCTCGCACTACGTGGGGGCCCCTCGTCGCTGTCCGTCTCGGTTTCGACCGCTCGTCTTTAGGTGTTGCGGTCTCCACTCGGGAGCCGCAACACCTCATGGTCTCGTGTTTAGGCGGAATCGACCGAAATTCGTTTTTGTGAGATTTGTATGTTTTTTAGTTGTTTATTGTTTGTGTTTTTTGTCTGCGTGTGTGTGTGTCTCCTCAATGAGAGGATCTGTGTTTGAACCTTCTTCAGGCAAAGGGCAGGTGAATGATGCAGAAGCGATCAACAACATAACGAATTCAAAAGAACTCACACACGGTTCGGGAACTCGTTGTGCAACCAGGAGAAATTGGCTAGGAGACCGGCGACAGCCGACAGACTTTGAAATACACCAATTGCATCCAATTGCGCCTATTTGGGGGATGATCACCAAGGGAGCAAACCACTCATTTGCAGGAATTGGAGCATTGGACGCTCAGAAGGTTCATTGGAACACCTTGACAACAAGGTGAGTGTATAGGTCATGAGATGAGCAACATCCAAAAGGGTCGGTACACATATCTTTTTGTGAGAGGAACAATTTCATTGAAATCATCTAAAGACCTGTAAAGCATATATATATATATAAAGCGATATAGTGACCCCCCAAAAGCGATACCTTCACAAGGTACACTTCAATCATGTGATTCACATCTAATTACTTTGCAACCCTGTCAGACGAAAGCTTTGGAAATCCGTTTCTTGGCATTGTTTTTGCATGCTGCGTTTTCAGGAGAAATTCTCAAGAAGTATGACAAAGGCATCCGAAACACAGTAAAGCGATATAGGGACCGCCCAAAAACAATACGGAGTTCCACTTTTGTGCCCACAGGTTTTGGACCTCACTCAGATGGCTATCAGTAAATCTACATGTCACCGCACTGTCCGCACTGTAAATCTGTAGATTCAGAAGCTGGACATGCCTTTGATATCCTTGATAATAATCATTACCCACTTTACAAAGCACCCCGGACCCCAAGCCATCCCAGATCTACCTGTACCAATCGCAATGCTCCTTTTGTCCAGTTGGATAGTCAGGCTGTCAGCAGCCCTGCACTTCCATTCATTGTTGACAACAACCCCAGAGAATCTGCCAAATGCATGAGGATAGGACTATACTTGGACGACTTTCTGATCAGTAAGAGACAAGTTCCGAAGGCTTTCAGACATCTCACAAATTCAATCCCACCAGCGCGCTTGGACACAAACGGCCTTCACTAAGCGAAGTGCAAGAACATCAGGAACAAGTTGTTTTTTTTGGCATCTGGGGTTTTAAACGCGATGACGAGACGAACCAACCTTGTGTCCACCCAAGGAACCTGGGTTGGTCGGTTGCGTGGCCGGCATTTTCCGGCGAGTTTTCGGACTCAGGAGTTCCACTTAGAGTCTGCTGGGCAGGCGGGGCTCTACCGGATTTGCTATTGTTTCTCGTCCGAAGTGTATGGCGACTCCCAAATAACATGGTGACAAGCCAGGGAAGAGCTGCGTGGTTCCGAGCGATTGGATTGGGATCTAAAGCTGCGCACCATCGCACCTGGAATTGGCGGTGGATGGAATCCTCACGAACGGATTGTTTGAGACACAGTGGCGTTCTTGGGTGAGGAAGCGTCCTTTGATTCAAGAGTCCATCTTGGTCTGAGCAAAGCTATAAGCTAAGTGGTGACTTCGGACATGTTTGAGTTTCAACCCTCACTTCGGATGATAGAAGCCATTGACCAACAATGCTTCAAGTGACTTGAAAATAACGACCAGTAAGTAGACCGGCATCTGAAGCCCAGACCTTGGCCTTACATCCCAAAACTGAGCAGCTTAAGGGGTGCTTCACTCTTCCCAGCCCTCTTCGCCTCTTCGCTTCCCACAGAGTGGTCGCACAGACCGGGTGGTGAGTCGCCAGTCGGCAGCGCACGCTTTGGTCGGCCAAGGTAAGCATTCCGTCTTGGGGCCGTGTGATGACCCCGTGGCCTTCGCGCAGTGGGCCGGTGTCTTGATGCTCGGTGTGCAGTTCGATGCGGTTCGATGCGGATTGCTCCAAGGACGTGTTCGATGCTCGGAACGGCATCGCCACACGAGTCCGGAGCGATTTCGGAGGCCACTAGTAATTAGCTCCTGGCATTACAGTAACAATGAAGCTACTAGTCTCCTGTCGATCTATACCTGGATCCGACTTCAAGCAGCAAATGGGACATGACTCATGACCCACAAACAAAACATATACTAATTGGACATACTTGTACCCATTTTCGTACGAACTGAGACTTATACGGAACTAAATTGGATCAGCATGGAGGAACTGTTCGATGGGATCAGCGGGGTTTGGAAACACTTACGGGAGTATTCTCCAGTGTTCTCCTATTCTACTGTTACCGCGGGGAACATCTCATGCATGGAATCCCCCCACTTGTGATCTGACAATTTCGTTTGTCTCGTAGCCCAGACACTGCCAGACTCTGAAACCTTTACCTATAGGACCCAATCATGGACCCCTGAAACTTTGCAACTATCGAGGCCGGAGTTCCGAATTCGTCACCGGATCGCCGCGCCGAGGAACATCTCGGGGAGGGTGCAGTACGAGGAACGTTTGCCGAGATGTGCTGAGCAGATTGTGGATCTTTTGTGGATTTGTTTCAGAGGTTTTGGTTGAATTCAGTTCACAAATTGTTTCGAAGGTTTTTGTTAACCACTAGCCTTCTTCCAAGGAAGGAAGGGTCATCGCTATTAGGTTCCTTTTGCTATTAGGTTGGAGGCCATTGCTATGTGTGTGTGTGTGTTTATGCTCAAGACTCTGCAGGTATCCTTTTGGAGGGCTCGGTGGGCCCTGGAGGATTGTTGAAGAATCCTCTCACAGGCGGACCAATGAGCAAACATCATTATATCCGAAGATATCTTTACATGGTTAGGTCGATCCCTTAGCCCTTTATATATGTATATGTGTTTGGTTGTTTGGGTGCTTCAGGGATATTCTCGCACATCGATGCTGAACAAACTCCGGGCCAGATTTGGTCCTCCCTGCGCCGACCGGGTCTGGGCCGAGCTGGGGCTTCAGCGCCAGAACTGAGGTATCGCAATCCATCAGCAGTGCTTGGCCTCTGCCCGGTGTTACTTCAACATTACGGGAGTTCCCAGTCCAATGACGGCCGCTTTCGACCGTGGGGCAGGTGACGTGAGGCACATGCGAGGCACATGCAAGGCACTCAAGTCCGCTCCAAAGCGCAGATCAGGTGTCAACTTCATGGCCTTCTACTGAGGTGTTTGATGGTTTGCAAGATTTTTGGCAGTAGCTGGATGTATGTGAATGCATGCTCCAGGTTGAAAACATGCAGACTCAGCATTGCTGAGCTGACTTCGACTCAAGTCACGTGCCACATAGTAGCGACGCTTGGAAGATATTTGTCAGACAGGTTCAATTCCCAAGCGTCAAGTGCTCCGTGCAGACCCCTTTTCCATCCGTTTCCCCCCCGCCTGCCTCCCAAAAAGATGGTGCATGGATTCGTCCCTTCGTGTAGAGTTGGTCTTTCTAGGTCAGTGATCGAGGTCAAACTGGGAATGACCAAAGACGGGGGGGCCTCGAATGTTTCGCTCCACAGATGGAGCCTGGTGACGGCCTGGACCTACCCAAGACCTGCAAAGACGGTGGACACTCTAAAGCCCGGGTGAAAAGTTTGTGAACCCCTTTTGACCTTATAGCACTGCTTTGAAGGCCTGTCCATACACCCGCACTATACGCTTTCACTGATGCACAGAAAAAAAGACTCCAACCTACTGACTAGCATAAGGAATCTAATAGCGCTAATAGCGATGACCTCCACCCTAGTAGCGCTACTATACTTCGCGTCAGGGCTCGAACCATCCTGTTTAGGGGCGATTTTGGGCATCGCTACGAACGTAGCTCCTGGCCTTACGAACGTCACAAACGGAACACGAGGACGCTACGAACCGGCATTGACGATGAATCGCACGGACGCGCCGCCTTACGCGCTCGGACGCACAGCGGGATGCGATCGGCCGCTGGGCTGCTCAGGTGTGGGCCATGCAGCTCAGCTTCTCGGACTCCTTCCGTGCCGTGCCGCTGGACGTGGCCTGCGATACCGCCGCTGGGCGAGGGTGGGACCCGTCCACGTGTAGTTGTACGGGGCGTGTAGTTGTTGTGGTGATTCAAGTACATATCAAGTTATCAAGTGATGTCCAAGACATGTTGAGACAACAAATCTGTGTGAGTGGGAGGTTTGTCTACTTGCTTATGGCTTTCTATTGTTTGTGCCATGAATCTTGACGGAGGAGGGATCACAGTGAGCACAGGTGCTCAGTTCCATCTCTTGGTGTTTGTTTTTTGCATTCTTTCGCAAGAGCTGTTAGATAGAGGGTTTTGCCCTCAATTTGTTGCTCACAATTAGCATCATTTGAGAGAATCATCTGAAGGACCGAGGATGATCCGTTTGAGGATTGAAGCAACTTTTTGAAGATGACATGAGCGGTCCAAATCACAACGAGATTTGTGAACATCCATATCCTTTGAGAAGTGGCCAACTTCGCAGAGAAATCGATCCATTCCAATTCCCATCTTCAGCCTGAGCGCAAAAAAGTTGCCAGTTCACCGAGGTGGATCCTTTGAGCAGCTATTTGTGCCATCTATAGATGGATCTAGCTGGATATAGCTGGGCTGTGTCATACTCTGCCCGCCCCTCCGCCCGCCTTGGCCCGCCCGTACCGGGTGGACTCAGGAAGCGGATTCGTCCTCTTATCCCAAGTTCAGCCTGTTGCGGCGGAGCCTCGGACGGTGGAGCCGTTGCGTGGAGCCGGTGGTCTACTCTGGAGAAACATCGAGAACCCACCACTTGGCTCGCATAATGTTTTTAGGAGTTTAGGAGTTTAGGCATTTACTATCGTCATTGTTTTGAGATGTCTTGATTGCACAATCAAAAACATATTCAAGTGAACAATGACCATGTTGCCTGGAGTGTGTCTTCCTTCCAGGTTTTCTCCTTTATAGATAGGGATTCCTTTCCCACCCCTTGTCTCATCGCTCTCGAGGCTCCAGTTGTCAGACACTTGGCGCGCTGAGTTTACGCATCAGGCACTGCCGAGCCTTTGAGTTGGCGCCGTGTTTCTTCCATCTCGGAGTAGACTCAGTAGGAATACCAAGGCAAAGGCTTTGGGATGAGAGCTTGTTCTGAAGGGTTGTCACAAGTCACATTCATTTTCCTAAAAACAAAAAGAAGCACGACTGTCACTGTCACGTTTGACATGTCTATATATAGACATCGGTTGATCCTTTCATGCCAGTGTCCTATTGAGTCAATCAAATAGATTGACAAAAAGTCAATTGCAAAGCAATCCAAGACAGCATAAGCTATTAGAAACAAGTGCATCGCTACTAGTAACAAGTGCCTTACTAGTAGTAACAAGAAGCTATTAGAAACAAGTGCCTTACTAGTAGTTGTAACAAGAAGCTATTAGAAACAAGTGCCTTACTAGT